ACATTGAACTGTTTACTTATTGAACTGTACATACCCACTGCATATGGGCATTTGTAATTATGTACACACCCACCATACATATACACTTGTAATCATGCTTATTTATCTGCATACTACTGATTATTAATAGTCCTGCACATATATTCATATATTGTAACATATACACTTGTTATCATGTTTATCTATCTGCACACTACTGATTATTAGTAGCAACCTGCACATATATTCATATATTGTAAATCTGTTCATAGCTTATACAACCTGTATATAATGTTGATAGTACATCCATCTGTAAATATCACCATAGTTTTCTATAACTGCACTTTATAACTTATTCCTGTATCCTGCACTTGCTGCTATTGCACTGCTGGTTAGACCTAAACTGCATTTCGTTGCATTGTACTTGTACATGTGTAATGACAATAAAGTTGAATCTAATCTAATCTAATAAATACAAGAGAAGCAGTTCCACTGACAGCCATACATGCCCACGCCATGACACTACTACCACCATGCTTCACTGCTTAGGCTCATGAGCAGTTCCTCTCCATCTCCATACTCTTCTCTTCACATCACTCTGGTACAAGTTGATCTTGATCTCATCTGTCCAGAGGATGTTGTTCCAGCACTGTGAAGGCTTTTTCAGAACACTAAGCCTACCTGTTTTTGAGGCTCACCAATGGTTTACATCTTGTGGTGAACCCTCTGTATTCACTCCGGTGAAGTCTTCTCTTGATTGTAGACTCTGACACACATACATCGACCTCCTGGAGAGTGTTCTTGATCCCGTCAAATGTTGTGAAGGGCGTTTTCTTCACCAGGGAAAGAATTCACAGTTGTTTTCCGTGGTTTTCCGGGTCGCTTGGTGTTGCTGAGTTCACTGGTGGGTTCTTTCTTTTTAAGAATGCTCCACACTGTTGTTTTGGCCTGATGTCTCTGCTATCTCTCTCTGATGGGTTTGTTCTGTGTTTTTAGCCCAATGAGGGCTGGCTTGACTGATAGTGACAGCTCTTTGGATCTCATCTTGAGAGTTGACAGTAACAGATAGCAAATAGCGCACTCGAAATGAACTCGGGACGTTTTGTCTGCTCATTGTAATTGGGAGAATACGGGAATAACACACACCTGGCCATAAAACAGCTTTGAAGCCAATTGTCCAATTACTTTTGGACCCTTAACAAGCGGGAGGCACCTGATTTGGATGTAAATACCCTCAAATTAAAGCTGCCAGTCAGCAGGTAAAGCACATCTTATTTGTTTCATTTCAAATCCATTGTGTTGGTGTATACAGCCAAACATGTTAGAATTCTGGTGATGTCCAAATACTTACGGGCCTAACTGTATATATAATTTATTTGTTAATAACAGTTATAATCTGTTAATTGTCTGTTATAAATTATTGTGTGATTCACAAGTGTTTTTCAACTTTGGATGTTGAAAGTTCAACTCTACAGTTTAACAAAGTGACTTGTATTGACATTTTTTAAAATAATATAATGTATAAGAAACAATGCATTGAGAAATAAGTTTGTAATATAAAAGAAAATGTAAACTGGCATTTTTGTAGCATAATAAACAATGCCAACCCAGACAATATATTACTTATGCTATATATCCCTTATATTACTTATGCTGATGATACCCAGCTATACCTCTCTTTTCACCCTGATGATCCTTCGGTTCCAGCTCGCATCTCAGCCTGCCTGTCAGACATTTTACACTGGATGAAAGATCATCATCTTCAGCTTAACCTCGCGAAAAAGGAAATGCTAGAAGTTTGCCAACCCGACTCTACATCATAACTTTTCAATCCAGATCGACAGGGCAACCATTACTGCATCCAAAATCGTGAAAAGCCTTGGAGTAACGATTGATGACCAACTAAACTTCTCTGACCACATCTCTAGAACTGCTCGATCTTGCAGATTCGCACTCTACAACATCAGAAAGGTTTGACCCTTCCTATCTAAACATGCAGCTCAACTCATTTTTCAAGCTCTTGTTCTCTCCAGACTGGACTATTGCAACTCTTTACTAGCCGGGCTTCCAGCTAACTCTATCAAACCTCTTCAGCTGCTTCAGAACGCAGCAGCACGAGTGGTCTTTAATTAACCTAAAAGAGCACATGTCACCCCGCTGCTCATCCGTTTGCACTGGCTGCCAGTTGCTGCTCGCATCAAATTCAAAGCTCTGATGTTTGCTTACAAAGCGACTTCTGGGTTTGCTCCTTCTTATCTGCTCTCACTTCTGCAGATGTATGTGCCCTCCAGAAACTTGCGTTCTGTGAATGAACGTCGCCTCGTGGTTCCATCCCAAAGAGGGAAGGAATCACTTTCCCGAACTCTCGCATTCAATCTGCCCAGTTGGTGGAATGAACTCCCTAACTGCATCAGAACAGCAGAGTCACTCGCTGTCTTCAAGAAACCACTAAAAACTCAACTATTTAATCTCCACTTTCCTTACTAATATGCAACTACCTCTCTGACTCCTCAATTAACTACAAAAAAATAAAAATAAATGAAAATAAAAATAAAAATGACTAATGTTTTCCTTCTTACACTTTACACACCTGAAACTTGCCTACAGCACTTCTTCATTGTTGCTCTTGGTTGTGTAAATTGCTTCCTTGTCCTCATTTGTAAGTCGCTTTGGATAAAAGCCTCTGCTAAATGACTAAATGACTAAATGTAAATGTACTTAAATCTATCAACACAATAAGTGATCGTGCAGAATGTGTTTCTGATGTACCATGAACTTGTCCAGCTGGCCCTGCTCAAAGTTGTCCGTTTTGTTGTCGAGCTTCATCTCGTCAGATTTCCCCTTTTCTCCGTAGATCTGCAGAAGGATGGAGGCGTCTGTTCCTGCTCCAGCAAGATCCGTCGTCCAGATCCAGAGCGACCATGGATGTTCTGCAGAACATTAGATCCATTAAACCTTTTAAATCTACGATAAAGCCTCCTAGTGTTATAGTTAACCCTTGTATGCTGCTGGGTCATTTTCATCCACTCTGGGCTGATTTTGAGTCTTAATTTGGCCAAATGGAGTGATTTTTGCTAACAACTCTGATTTTGACATATATTTTGGGATTTTACTACACTTTGGTGATGTTAGAGTCAGTTTTTGCCCCATTGACTTTGATTATAATTTTAGATTGCAAAGCCATGACAGCATGTAATTATGCATTCTCAATTGTTGCTGGTCTCCCCTAACCAGCTCACTTTTACTGTTTTGCGTACTAAAAACGGTCAAACCCCTCTGTAATTTGCACCCTGAGTGTATGTAGCCTATTGATTAGATTAGCGCTCCAGTATGTTAGTCATGTGTAGGTTTAAAATAGCTTTTATGTCCAGTGTTGTGTTGATATTTATGATTATGTTTATTATTGTAGCACCATGATCCTTCGAGACACTACGTTTCCTTCCACTGAATATCTACTGAGGTGACAATAAAGCTCAACTTTGAACTTATTTTTGTATGATTGAGCTCTTTATCTTTCACAGTATGATCCAAACTCACTCTTCTGCCTCTTCTGTCGGAGTGACACCATCTCGTATAGTTCTCTCTCGATAATCCCATCACCTTCGTCCTCATCCAGCCATTTAGAGCAGGGGAACGTCTGTTCAATACCAGTAAACGGACAGAAAACCACCACCTACAACACACACACAGAGTAAAGGTTAGTGTGTGTAATTACTGCACACACAGACACACAGACAGACCTTGTCGCAGTACCAGCTGGGGAGGGAGGGATTTTAGTATGGACGGACGGAAGAGCAGAGAGAGAGACAGACAGACAGAGAGACAGACAGACAGGCAGGCAGGCAGACAGGCAGACAGAACAATAGATAGATAGATAGATAGATAGATAGATAGATAGATAGATAGATAGATAGATAGATAGATAGATAGATAGATAGATAGATAGATAGATAGATAGATAGATAGATAGATAGATAGATA